CGGGCCACATAAAATGATGTGGCGGGGCGGATCTGGCCCCTGGGCCTTGCGTTTGAAACTTCTGACCTAGCGGGTTATGTTTGTACAAAACTTATGTCGGTGTTGTAGAAACGACTTTGGAGTACGTTCACGCGTTGTGACTCAAGAGAAACTTATGGCACCCACTTTGCACCGTTGGCCATTTTGGTTTGCTGTGCTTATACGTTGTTGTTTTTTTCTTTTTATAGTGACTTTCCTGTTGACGTAATGCCTCCTAAGGTCAAGGTGGAGCCTTCCGGCGGCCACACTTCAAAGAAAAGGAAAGCCATCACCATGGATGTCAAGTTAGATGTCGTGAAGCGATCAAAACGGGGAGAAACGCCGACGAACATCGGCCGCGCGCTCCACTTAAGTCGCTCTACTGTCGTGACTATCATTAAGGCTCAAGATCGCATCCTGGAGCACGTGAAGGCATCTCCGCACATGAAATCGACCATAACAAGCAGGCAGAAAAGCGGGCTACTGGAGGCCAAAAAGTTCACGTGCAAGAGCCTGGCGGCTGGTTTCTTGCTGATAGAGGAAGGCTTGGCTAAGTTCAAGGCTGAGGACGCAGACGCGGCCAGATACGCAAGGGTCTACAAGGGGGTCATGGATAACCTGCGGTGCTACAACGAGATTTGGGAGGAGGTGAAGAGTGTCTCCTTCCAGTCAAACCTCAAGCAGCTCCTCAAGATGCTAGAGAGGCCTGCACCAGATCCCCCACTGGATCCTGTGCAGGATCCTGAAATATCGACGTCTCTACTATAAGCCGCTCTCGCACAACTCAAATTGCCCCACGGGGATAAATAAAGTTTTCGCAATCTGAATCTGAATCAACTGCTTAGTTAGCTCCTGCAGCCTTGATCTCCTACTAAAAAGTAGCGAGAACTCAAACAGATCCTCAACTCGACCTCATCGGCTTCTTTAACTCCTCCAGCGCCTTCTTTAGCCTGCCCGGTTTCTTCATTATCTCTCTCTCTCTCTCTCGCCACCGCTCCAGCAAGTTCCAGCTCTCTCCTATCACATACTCGCAACGTGTGTACGTGCTAACCGTCGGAGTAAAGGTAAGGAATTTATTTAGCGTTATAGCCTAAGACTTTTTCATACAAATGTTTTTTTTTTTTTTTTGTAATTACAACTCAACTATGATGGGTCCATTTGCATTTGAGGGTACAAACATACAGCAAAACAATCGGGCCTAATTTGACCTAAAACTTCAATTCAACATTTCCGGTGTCTCCCATGGAAACAATAATGTGAAGGCAGGGTGATAATAGCCTTCAATTAAAATCCTTGATTTCCTCCAATCCCCAACAATGCATTTTCTGATCTTAACACATTTTTGTCCTTCTTTCAATCAAGAAAATGCAAATAACATATAAACTGAGAGGAGGTGGCCCTTCACATACAATCGTTAATCCATTTTAATAAAGTAAAAATATTTAACGTCAATAGATTGACAAAACGATTGTCTTCTGGATCAATCTATCACTGACCACAACATGAATAAAAGGGACTGCTTGAATTGGAAAATGAACCTTTGTAACTGAAAATGTGTGTCATCGTAATGGATCTCTGCAATAAGTCAGGGAATACTTCTCCGATCGTGTCAATCCAAACTGCATTTTATTGTTTGAAAAGGTAGATTTTGCACTCTCAGTCTGTGTGGATGTACCTGATCAAGGGTCCATTAATGATCACGTTCCAAAGCTATGCCTTCCATTTCTTCACGGCAAACCGAATGTGTCTACTTGACTTTGTTTAAATGCGAATGTCCAGCCAAGAGACTAAGCCCTCTTTTTGGTTTTGACCAGGCCTTTTTCAACCAGGCAGCGGTAGAACTCCTGGATGTACGTGTAAACGCACTTCCAGTCAGGCTCCTTCATCCGGACCAAGTCTTCGGGGTCCAGCAGTGGGGGACAGCCGGCCAGCCTCCTGCAGACAAAGAAGCATCAACATCGGACCCGTAAAATCAGAGGGTGCAAAAAGCAAGACGGACATTCGCACAATACGCTGACACGAGGAAGGAGGGCTCACTCTGCGGTACTAAACGCCAGCTGGAAGTTGTCCTTGGCCTTGTTCGGGTTCAGGGTGGAATACTCAAACGCGTCGGGGAAGAAACGGTGCACCAAAGCGCAGAAGGCGATGCCATCTTTCCAGCTGGAGGAGAAGTTGTGGATGTCCACTCCCTAAAAGAGCGCACACATTTGTGATGACAAAAGACAGAGCAGATCAGCAAGTCACAGCGGGGCCGTGATGACCCCATATGGCTCCGTTTTGGCCTTGCACCAGTCCAGAAGCATCTGTTTGACGTTTTTAGCGTTGGGGGCTGCAGAGGCGGGGCATTTTTGGGCGGCTTGAGCAGGACTGGCTTGACTGAGGAGGAGAAGTGAGGACGGTCGAGTATACATCTAATAACGCAGCAAATACAGTTTTTCCTCGTTTCAATTTAAAGTATGACTCATTTGTGGGCATGAACATGACATTTTCTTTATGTGGTTTCACATTGTTTTCATGTGTGGAAAATATTCCGTTTTTGTTTTTGAAATAAATGATTCATTTCCTCAAAGACCTAGCGGGTTATGTTTGTACAAAACTTATGTCGGTGTTGTAGAAACGACTTTGGAGTACGTTCACGCGTTGTGACTCAAGAGAAACTTATGGCACCCACTTTGCACCGTTGGCCATTTTGGTTTGCTGTGCTTATACGTTGTTGTTTTTTTCTTTTTATAGTGACTTTCCTGTTGACGTAATGCCTCCTAAGGTCAAGGTGGAGCCTTCCGGCGGCCACACTTCAAAGAAAAGGAAAGCCATCACCATGGATGTCAAGTTAGATGTCGTGAAGCGATCAAAACGGGGAGAAACGCCGACGAACATCGGCCGCGCGCTCCACTTAAGTCGCTCTACTGTCGTGACTATCATTAAGGCTCAAGATCGCATCCTGGAGCACGTGAAGGCATCTCCGCACATGAAATCGACCATAACAAGCAGGCAGAAAAGCGGGCTACTGGAGGCCAAAAAGTTCACGTGCAAGAGCCTGGCGGCTGGTTTCTTGCTGATAGAGGAAGGCTTGGCTAAGTTCAAGGCTGAGGACGCAGACGCGGCCAGATACGCAAGGGTCTACAAGGGGGTCATGGATAACCTGCGGTGCTACAACGAGATTTGGGAGGAGGTGAAGAGTGTCTCCTTCCAGTCAAACCTCAAGCAGCTCCTCAAGATGCTAGAGAGGCCTGCACCAGATCCCCCACTGGATCCTGTGCAGGATCCTGAAATATCGACGTCTCTACTATAAGCCGCTCTCGCACAACTCAAATTGCCCCACGGGGATAAATAAAGTTTTCGCAATCTGAATCTGAATCAACTGCTTAGTTAGCTCCTGCAGCCTTGATCTCCTACTAAAAAGTAGCGAGAACTCAAACAGATCCTCAACTCGACCTCATCGGCTTCTTTAACTCCTCCAGCGCCTTCTTTAGCCTGCCCGGTTTCTTCATTATCTCTCTCTCTCTCTCTCGCCACCGCTCCAGCAAGTTCCAGCTCTCTCCTATCACATACTCGCAACGTGTGTACGTGCTAACCGTCGGAGTAAAGGTAAGGAATTTATTTAGCGTTATAGCCTAAGACTTTTTCATACAAATGTTTTTTTTTTTTTTTTGTAATTACAACTCAACTATGATGGGTCCATTTGCATTTGAGGGTACAAACATACAGCAAAACAATCGGGCCTAATTTGACCTAAAACTTCAATTCAACATTTCCGGTGTCTCCCATGGAAACAATAATGTGAAGGCAGGGTGATAATAGCCTTCAATTAAAATCCTTGATTTCCTCCAATCCCCAACAATGCATTTTCTGATCTTAACACATTTTTGTCCTTCTTTCAATCAAGAAAATGCAAATAACATATAAACTGAGAGGAGGTGGCCCTTCACATACAATCGTTAATCCATTTTAATAAAGTAAAAATATTTAACGTCAATAGATTGACAAAACGATTGTCTTCTGGATCAATCTATCACTGACCACAACATGAATAAAAGGGACTGCTTGAATTGGAAAATGAACCTTTGTAACTGAAAATGTGTGTCATCGTAATGGATCTCTGCAATAAGTCAGGGAATACTTCTCCGATCGTGTCAATCCAAACTGCATTTTATTGTTTGAAAAGGCAGATTTTGCACTCTCTGTCTGTGTGGATGTACCTGATCAAGGGTCCATTAATGATCACGTTCCAAAGCTATGCCTTCCATTTCTTCACGGCAAACCGAATGTGTCTACTTGACTTTGTTTAAATGCGAATGTCCAGCCAAGAGACTAAGCCCTCTTTTTGGTTTTGACCAGGCCTTTTTCAACCAGGCAGCGGTAGAACTCCTGGATGTACGTGTAAACGCACTTCCAGTCAGGCTCCTTCATCCGGACCAAGTCTTCGGGGTCCAGCAGTGGGGGACAGCCGGCCAGCCTCCTGCAGACAAAGAAGCATCAACATCGGACCCGTAAAATCAGAGGGTGCAAAAAGCAAGACGGACATTCGCACAATACGCTGACACGAGGAAGGAGGGCTCACTCTGCGGTACTAAACGCCAGCTGGAAGTTGTCCTTGGCCTTGTTCGGGTTCAGGGTGGAATACTCAAACGCGTCGGGGAAGAAACGGTGCACCAAAGCGCAGAAGGCGATGCCATCCTTCCAGCTGGAGGAGAAGTTGTGGATGTCCACTCCCTAAAAGAGCGCACACATTTGTGATGACAAAAGACAGAGCGGATCAGCAAGTCACAGCGGGGCCGTGATGACCCCATATGGCTCCGTTTTGGCCTTGCACCAGTCCAGAAGCATCTGTTTGACGTTTTTAGCATTGGGGGCTGCAGAGGTGGGGCATTTTTGGGTGGCTTGAGCAGGACTGGCTTTACTGAGGAGGAGAAGTTAGGATGGTAGAGTACACATCTAATAGCACAGCAAATTCAGGTTTCCTCGCTTTACCACGGCAAAAGAATACATGCTCACGTCGCACACAGTTAATACAGTAAAAGCCGTATGTGGCATTTTTCACTGGATGTGTTAGTTTTATACCTCAAAAGTGATTTTCAGACCAGAATTGACTCTTAATATGACTCTTTAACAGATGCTAATGTAGTAGTAGACTAGAACATGTTCAGACTTCGATAGAAGTCCAGGTTATGTCACCACTTTAAGACTAGAATGCCACCCTAAAGCGAGGACTCCCTCAATACTCAAAAGAAGAGTTTAAATTTAAAGTCCAACTTATTCGTGGACATTAACATGACATTTTCTTTATGTGGTTTCACATTGTTTTCATGTTTGGAAAATACTACGTTTTTGTTTTTGAAATAAATGATTTAATTCCTTAAATCGTGGAGTCTTTTCTCAATGATGCTGTCTGCCAATTAATCTCAGTGTGTTTTTGATAGAAATTGCAAAAATAATACAATGTCTACAGTGGCTACTGTTTCCCCCCCAAACAGCGACCTCCATCACAATGGATGCCGTGGCCTAAGTAATTGCTAACACCTAATGAGGATACGTAAAGGCCAAACACAGGAGTAAATATATCGTCAAAATTTTTTATGTAATCGTTTTTCATCCTGTAACTTTGGTTATGCAATATTCACTAATGCGTCAGCGTATGCCATTTTTGGACATTACGATGTATGACGAGCAAAAATAACGACGGTGTTATATTAACAGAACTCGGTTAAATAACATTTAATAGAAAGTAGTCAGACAGAAGAGGACCCAAACTATCAGCAGAGTAAAGGCAAGAGGAATTATCATCTTTGCTTGTTATTTTTTTTCATTGTGTGGATAAACGCATCAGGTCGACGTTTTATAATTCAAGGCATAGACATATTCATACAAATATGTGGTGTGTAACTTCACTCTTTTTGTTTTACTATTACCGAATTTTGGCAGAGAAGCGTTGTTCATGCGCGCATATACGGCATGACATCGATACGTTATGTTCGTACAAAAGTTACGTTGGTGTCGTAAGAACAACCTCGGAATACCTCGTCGCGTCGTGACGACGCGGCTTTGCGCCGTTCGCCGTTTTGGTTTGCTGCGGTTATAAATACTCGTTTTTTTTTCCTTCTTTAGTGACTTTGTAGATGACGCAATGCCCCCAAAGGGCAAGGCGGAATCTTCCGGTGGTCACACTTCAAAGAAAATCAAAGCCATCACCTTGGATTTGAAGCTAAACACGGTGCAGCCATCGAAACGCAGACGAATATCGGCCGCGTGCCGGGCCACATAAAATGATGTGGCGGGGCGGATCTGGCCCCTGGGCCTTGCGTTTGAAACTTCTGACCTAGCGGGTTATGTTTGTACAAAACTTATGTCGGTGTTGTAGAAACGACTTTGGAGTACGTTCACGCGTTGTGACTCAAGAGAAACTTATGGCACCCACTTTGCACCGTTGGCCATTTTGGTTTGCTGTGCTTATACGTTGTTGTTTTTTTCTTTTTATAGTGACTTTCCTGTTGACGTAATGCCTCCTAAGGTCAAGGTGGAGCCTTCCGGCGGCCACACTTCAAAGAAAAGGAAAGCCATCACCATGGATGTCAAGTTAGATGTCGTGAAGCGATCAAAACGGGGAGAAACGCCGACGAACATCGGCCGCGCGCTCCACTTAAGTCGCTCTACTGTCGTGACTATCATTAAGGCTCAAGATCGCATCCTGGAGCACGTGAAGGCATCTCCGCACATGAAATCGACCATAACAAGCAGGCAGAAAAGCGGGCTACTGGAGGCCAAAAAGTTCACGTGCAAGAGCCTGGCGGCTGGTTTCTTGCTGATAGAGGAAGGGTTTGCCAAAGTCAAAGATTTGGGAGGAGGTGAAGAGTGTCTCCTTCCAGTCAAACCTCAAGCAGCTCCTCAAGATGCTAGAGAGGCCTGCACCAGATCCCCCACTGGATCCTGTGCAGGATCCTGAAATATCGACGTCTCTACTATAAGCCGCTCTCGCACAACTCAAATTGCCCCACGGGGATAAATAAAGTTTTCGCAATCTGAATCTGAATCAACTGCTTAGTTAGCTCCTGCAGCCTTGATCTCCTACTAAAAAGTAGCGAGAACTCAAAACAGATCCTCAACTCGACCTCATCGGCTTCTTTAACTCCTCCAGCGCCTTCTTTAGCCTGCCCGGTTTCTTCATTATCTCTCTCTCTCTCTCTCGCCACCGCTCCAGCAAGTTCCAGCTCTCTCCTATCACATACTCGCAACGTGTGTACGTGCTAACCGTCGGAGTAAAGGTAAGGAATTTATTTAGCGTTATAGCCTAAGACTTTTTCATACAAATGTTTTTTTTTTTTTTTTGTAATTACAACTCAACTATGATGGGTCCATTTGCATTTGAGGGTACAAACATACAGCAAAACAATCGGGCCTAATTTGACCTAAAACTTCAATTCAACATTTCCGGTGTCTCCCATGGAAACAATAATGTGAAGGCAGGGTGATAATAGCCTTCAATTAAAATCCTTGATTTCCTCCAATCCCCAACAATGCATTTTCTGATCTTAACACATTTTTGTCCTTCTTTCAATCAAGAAAATGCAAATAACATATAAACTGAGAGGAGGTGGCCCTTCACATACAATCGTTAATCCATTTTAATAAAGTAAAAATATTTAACGTCAATAGATTGACAAAACGATTGTCTTCTGGATCAATCTATCACTGACCACAACATGAATAAAAGGGACTGCTTGAATTGGAAAATGAACCTTTGTAACTGAAAATGTGTGTCATCGTAATGGATCTCTGCAATAAGTCAGGGAATACTTCTCCGATCGTGTCAATCCAAACTGCATTTTATTGTTTGAAAAGGCAGATTTTGCACTCTCTGTCTGTGTGGATGTACCTGATCAAGGGTCCATTAATGATCACGTTCCAAAGCTATGCCTTCCATTTCTTCACGGCAAACCGAATGTGTCTACTTGACTTTGTTTAAATGCGAATGTCCAGCCAAGAGACTAAGCCCTCTTTTTGGTTTTGACCAGGCCTTTTTCAACCAGGCAGCGGTAGAACTCCTGGATGTACGTGTAAACGCACTTCCAGTCAGGCTCCTTCATCCGGACCAAGTCTTCGGGGTCCAGCAGTGGGGGACAGCCGGCCAGCCTCCTGCAGACAAAGAAGCATCAACATCGGACCCGTAAAATCAGAGGGTGCAAAAAGCAAGACGGACATTCGCACAATACGCTGACACGAGGAAGGAGGGCTCACTCTGCGGTACTAAACGCCAGCTGGAAGTTGTCCTTGGCCTTGTTCGGGTTCAGGGTGGAATACTCAAACGCGTCGGGGAAGAAACGGTGCACCAAAGCGCAGAAGGCGATGCCATCCTTCCAGCTGGAGGAGAAGTTGTGGATGTCCACTCCCTAAAAGAGCGCACACATTTGTGATGACAAAAGACAGAGCGGATCAGCAAGTCACAGCGGGGCCGTGATGACCCCATATGGCTCCGTTTTGGCCTTGCACCAGTCCAGAAGCATCTGTTTGACGTTTTTAGCATTGGGGGCTGCAGAGGTGGGGCATTTTTGGGTGGCTTGAGCAGGACTGGCTTTACTGAGGAGGAGAAGTTAGGATGGTAGAGTACACATCTAATAGCACAGCAAATTCAGGTTTCCTCGCTTTACCACGGCAAAAGAATACATGCTCACGTCGCACACAGTTAATACAGTAAAAGCCGTATGTGGCATTTTTCACTGGATGTGTTAGTTTTATACCTCAAAAGTGATTTTCAGACCAGAATTGACTCTTAATATGACTCTTTAACAGATGCTAATGTAGTAGTAGACTAGAACATGTTCAGACTTCGATAGAAGTCCAGGTTATGTCACCACTTTAAGACTAGAATGCCACCCTAAAGCGAGGACTCCCTCAATACTCAAAAGAAGAGTTTAAATTTAAAGTCCAACTTATTCGTGGACATTAACATGACATTTTCTTTATGTGGTTTCACATTGTTTTCATGTTTGGAAAATACTACGTTTTTGTTTTTGAAATAAATGATTTAATTCCTTAAATCGTGGAGTCTTTTCTCAATGATGCTGTCTGCCAATTAATCTCAGTGTGTTTTTGATAGAAATTGCAAAAATAATACAATGTCTACATGACGTTTTTAGCGTTGGGGGCTGCAGAGGCGGGGCATTTTTGGGCGGCTTGAGCAGGACTGGCTTGACTGAGGAGGAGAAGTGAGGACGGTCGAGTATACATCTAATAACGCAGCAAATACAGTTTTTCCTCGTTTCAATTTAAAGTATGACTCATTTGTGGGCATGAACATGACATTTTCTTTATGTGGTTTCACATTGTTTTCATGTGTGGAAAATATTCCGTTTTTGTTTTTGAAATAAATGATTCATTTCCTCAAAGCCTGGCCTCTCCTCAAAATGATCCAATTCATCTC